TGGGAACATGAAGGTGTTGTTGTTGATGGGAGAAATGGACTCCATTATCCACAAATCTCATGCTTGGAGCAAGAAAAAGTTTTTTTTTTTTTTTTGCATTTTTACATAATGAACTATATAGATAAGCTAAAATAGTGGAACCCCAACTATACCCTCTAATTTTATCAAAGTTTCTAAACAAACTGAAATACATAAAATTAACACTATTACATGTACTTCCGGGGAATAACATGCTTCCAAATAGTATTGTAATATAATTTCTAGCTTTAACTAATTTAGCTTCCTCTGACGAATTTCATCCAAGTGAAGAGATGCATAACACTCTTTAAGATCCGTTAGCAAAATACCTTGGCCCCTCGCCCTTGATCCATCTATCATATCTATGCCCAACAATTTCTCGCACAAGGCATTAGGTTGTTTAACTAATCCATTAATCGCTTTACCCTCAATAGGGAGACTCAACAACATGTACACGTCCTCTAGTGTGACAATACATTCACCTATCCGGAGATGAAGAATGTGTGTCTCGGGTCTCCACCTTTCCAACAATGCGAGTATAAACTTTGTATCAATGGTGCAGTTTGATATGTTAATAACATGTAGAAAACCGTCACGTTCTAGATATGGGACGGTCCACGGGTCGGGAGAAACATAAGAGTGTCAGTGGCATCGAAATCTCGAGGTATCCTAAATAAAAAATGCATATATAAATGAAGCGTGTATGACTAAATATAAAATGCACATATAAATGAATATATTAAAACTTACAAAGGCAACAATGTTTGCTATTGTTCCTCTATGATCATCGCCCATGGTGAGGAGATCCATAATTGGAATTATTTCAGATAATGTATCAAAGAGTGTGAAAAGGTGTATCAAAGAGTGTGAGAATTGGTGATGTAAACAAACCAATTGTGGTCAGTATTTATAGGCGAATGGATAGAGGTTTAAATTAATGAGGTGGTTGAGGGTGGTGTGCATGGCTGACACGTGACACCCTTAAGTCAAGTGAGATGGCGCCTACATGAAAATATGAAGGGATGCGCCATTCAAAGTTGCGTGGAGTAGGTTAGGTGGCATCCTATATAGAGACTATGTGGCAGAGTAGGTGACAAAGCTGGCTAGGTGGAAAGTTAGGGCATATGCATGGCATGTTAGTTGTTTTGTCATGCACCAATGTGCCATTTCAAATGGCGTATACAACCAATTTTGAATGGAGGTTCCATCTCACCTAGCTTGAGTGTTTCCATGCAATTTTGTCTGGTGTTTTCCATCCGTACCTATTTAATCCAAACCGATTCTACTTGATTCTTATCCCTGAAACACTCCAGCACTCAAACACTCAAACAACAAAATGGAATCTGCACCATAATATGTTATCAATGCACACGTCAATGGTGAGACTTACGATTGTGATGTATCTAGATTTTTATTTCGAAACACCGATAATTTCCACTTTTGTTTAAATAGAAAATCCAATTTCTCGTATTTCAAAAAGCAACTAGAGATCAAACTTAAACAAGGTACAATGTCACATATCTTCTACCAACATCCTGTTTTTTTGGCACAAACCAAATAAAATTTTACCAGGTTGAGATTTAAGATGACGAAGATCTTCAAAATATGTTTTATAATCATGAATATTCTAGGTACGACTCTATTGAGTTGTACATTTTACTCCAACAACCTCAACTGTCACAACCAATTGAGTCAGAAGTTATTGGTCCCATCAAAGATGAATAAGCTGAGGTCGATATCGTTGACGACAAAGAAGAAGAACCATAATTAGAAGTTGATCACATGGTGAAAAATGATTCTGAGGATGATGATCAAGGTCCAATACCTCTAACTCAAGTGTACACACAAACTTCACACATGACAAACTTTAACTTGGGCAAAGATAAACCATCATCAGTTATATTCTACAACCCGTATATGCAGTCAAATGAACATTTAAAAGAGGGAGACAAATTTCGTTCAAAAGAAGACTGAGTGCAAGCTATAAAAAAGCCTCACATGGTAAACTGTGTGGATTTTAAAATAGATCACATAAATGCGAAGATGTACAAAATTCGGTGTGTTCACAAAGAATATATGTTTAGGCTGGCAACATCATACAGGTTGAGAAATAATTCTTGGGTGATAGGCTCTATTTCTCAAGCCCACACTTGTGTTAGCACTAATCAGACACAAGATCATCATAAATTGGGTTATGATCTTATATGCCAAGAAATCTTACCTCTCGTAAGCAATAATCTGTCATTGAAGGTGAGTACCATAATCTTTCACATAATTACATTATACAATTATTCTCTATCATATATAAATGTGTGGTTAGCAAAGACCAAGGCGATTGAAAAAGTGTATGGAAACTGGGAGGATTCATTCAAACAACTTCAACGTTACTTGCATGCACTTCACACATATGCTCCTGGAACTGTTTCTGTTATAGTAACATTGTCGGCGTATGCCCCTGACGTTACTTGTGTCAACGGAAATGAAATATTTCTTCGTTTGTTCTAGGATTTTCAACCTTGCATTAGAGGGTTTACATTCTACAAACCTGTTATTCAAACAAATGGGACATGGTTATACGATAAATATAAAGGAACACTACCAATGTCAGTCGCACAAGATGGCAACAATAACATTTTTCCAATTGCCTTCGCTCTGGTTAAAGGAGAGACTAGTGGTAGTTAAAGTTTCTTTCTCAATAATCTACGAACACATGTTGCTCCATAACCTGATCTCTATTTGATTTTCGATAGATATGCTTCTATTGAGAGTGCATACAACAATCGTGCTAATGGTTGACACACCCCCTTCTACGCATGTCTACTACATTAGACACATCACACAAAATTTCATGCGAGAGATTAAAGACAAAGCTCTTAGAAAAAACTCTTGTGAATGTGGGATATGTGTTAACTCAACCATCATTCAAACACTATTGCAACGAGATCAGATTATCAAATTCAGATGCAAGGAGGTGGGCTGTTAATCTTCCAGTAGAGAAATGAACGAGGTCATATGATAATGGATAATGGCGGGGCCACACGACAACACATCTTGTTGAATCAGAACATTGTATTCAACGGAATAAGAAACCTCCCCGTAACCGTTTTGGTGAAATCAACCTATTTTAGGATGGCTTCCCTGTTCATAAAAAAGGTGAAAAGTGTAGTGCAGTGTTACAATCAGGACAATTGTGGAGTGAAAGTTGCATGATATTTATGAAGGAAGAAAGTGCCAAAGCCAACACCCACCATGTTACAATATTCGACTATCATAACCACAAGTTCATTGTCAAAGAGACGATTGACCATAATGAGAGACTGCCAAGACAAAAGTATATGGTTCTACTACTATCTCGTTGGTGCGATTATGGAAAGTTTCAAGCCTTTCGTATGCCCCGATCTCATGTCATTACGACATTTATGTATTCTCATCAAGATGCATTATCACTTCTATCTCCCTCTTACAATACCGAGACCTTGCTGAATGTATACAACTATGGCTTTCCAATGGTAGCAAAAGAGGATTATTGGCCTGCGTATGAAGGGGAAATAATTTGGCACAACTACCAAATGCTAATGAAGAAAAAGGATCGTCCCAAAAGCAAGCGTATTATAACTGAAACAGATACGCTTGACAAGCTAGAAAGAAAGTGTGGTATATACCGTCAGGTTGGACACAATCGAAAAAATTGTCCCACTCGTGCTACAAGCTCGACAACATAAAAATTGTATGCATATTTTGTAGGTTATTTTTAGATCTGAACTGAACATTTTTTTATTAAGAACATTGGTTACAACAAATCAAACGCAAACAAGAAATAAAATGACATCAAAACTAAAACTGCAACACAATGAATACAATTAGTTAACACCACAAAATATCTAAGAAATTACAAATGTCAAAACAATTTCATCTAACCCATGCATCATGACCATTACGTCCCTGTCATTTTTGACATCCTCCCACCAACTTTGAGGTTTTTTGATCACAAGTGAGATGACCGTTCTTTGTCTCTGAATTCTTCTAATGACTTCACCATATTGGATGTCCCTGTCTAACCATCAGATCAACCATCTCTTAAGAGGCTCTATGAAATGGATGTGCCAAAATTTCATTTTAATCGGGGTTTGGTGGTCGAGAAAAGAACATACCCATCTATTGTGAAAATCATGTTAGATGTCATGATGAAAAACTTAGAGAGAAAATGAATGAAGAACGGAGGAGAAATGAAAATTTTATTTATAAAAAATACATATATATATATATATATATATATATATATATATATATATATATATATATATATATATATATATATATATATATATATATATATATATATATATATATAGGAGGCAAATGAGGCGACGTCTTCTCCTAAAATTAGAATGCACGCGCCAATTTCATATTAAACACTTATTAAACACTTGTGAAATATAGAATAATTTAAAAAAAAAAAGAAAAGAATATTGATGCATTATTTTTTCAAGACCGTGTTATTGGGAAAAAATATAGAATAATTAAAAAAAAAAGAAAAGAATATTGATGCATTATTTTTTCAAGACCGTGTTATTGGGAAAAAAATCTTATTTCTCACCCTTACACATATTTTAATTTTCTTTTTGGAACAGATAAAGCCAGAGTTTATTCCTTTCTCTCTTTGATGGAAATTGGGAAAAGAAACACGTTCACTACTCAAGTAAAGAAAATGAATATCAAAACCCATAGAAATCGAAATTTGTTGCTTTCTTTCATCTTATTTCATTTGTGCTACTTTTTTAATTTTTTATTAGTTTCCTTCTCCATTTGTCCATAGTATCAAACTGTTATGTATATTCATCACCTCATAGCCTCATCAAATTCCTCCACTCTCTTTCGAGCATTTTCCTATAACAGAATTAGAACTCTCTAGAACCTTCTTCGAACCCTAACAAATCCGTTTTCTTCAACCTCTCGCTCTGAATCTGCTTCGCACTTTTTCAATGGCGTTCTGGTGGTCCTTGCTCGTTCTAGCTTTCGCTTTCGCTGTCTGCAAATTCCTTCTCATGCTCATTCCTCCCAAGGTTCCTTCAATCGATGTTGACGCTTCTGATGGTAATTTTTTATACTCACTCTCTCACTCTATTGCATTGGAATTTGTTGTGATGGTGAAATCAGTGATTTCGATTTTGATAATTGTAGTGCTGGAAGATGGAAACCAATCGCAGGAGAATAGCTTCATATACGTGAGTGTTGTACTGTTAATTATTTTTTCATATACACTTAGAATTGAGATCTTGATGTGTTTGATTGTACTCTGCTTCCGCGTTATGCGAGATTGGCACAGTTTACTGAAATCAGAGTTCACTTTAATTGGAAATGAGTGTGTTGATTAATGATTTGTTTTAGGAATTAACTTTATGAGTCCTAGGACTTGGTGTTTGGTGGTTTGTAATTTTATTTTACCTTTTTGGAGAATTTTGATGTTCAGTCTAGATGATGAAATTGCTTGTTATTCAGGTGCCTCCGAGGGGAACGGCGCAGCAATCAGGCAAGAAAGTTCAGTGCTATGAGCCTGCTACCATGAAATATTTGGGATATGTTCCTGCTTTGACACCAGATGAGGTCTGTCATTCTATGCTTATTGCTTCTCAAGATACTTGTGATTGTGATTCACTGATTCATAATTTAAGCATCTACCAAGCAAGCTGCTAATTAAGAATTGGAATATGGAATGGAATAAAGTTATGTGCTATCGTTTGGATTAATTAAAAAAGGATGGAATGGAGCGGTATCGGATTCCATCCTATTCCATCATTTTTTGTACCCTTCGAATTTGGCGGAATGACAAAATAACTTAATTCCATCGTGACATACCCAAACAATGGAATGTCATCTTTATTCTATTCCGCTCCGTTCCGTCCCGCTCCACTCCATTCCGCTCTGTTCTTTTTTACGTATCCAAACATAACTATGCTAGAAAGCAACTATTAGTTTTAGATGCACGTCGTTTATTTGAATAGAGTATATTTGTTATAAAAAAATTTAATGACTATACGTTGGTATTGCAGATTTTTTTGTCTTTCAGTTATATCTCAAAATTTAATGACTATACATTGATATTGCAGATTTTATTTGCAGTCTTTCAGTTATATCTCACCATGATGCCACTTTGTTATTTTACTTTTTTAAATATCTCAACATATATCTACATGGTGAGATATGATAGGATGATTGTGTAATATTTGTTGATATCCTCTTTGCATAGTCATTAAACTCTTTATTTATATATTTATTTATTTTATGTTTATGCAAATATAAATATAATAATAAGTATTATTTTAGAAATAAGAAAATTTGAAATTTCCACTGCAAAAGAAAAATATCAAAGGGAATAAAACTAGTTGGGCTGAGTAATTGGTGATTTTGTTTGGTTTACTATTATCTCTTATGCCCAAGAAGCCATAAGTATGAATACTATGATACAAACAAGTTTTTACAATACTGTTCATAATTACCAGTTTGATTAGATTTATTCTTAAGTAAAAGTACTCTCAGAAATAACTAGTACTAACTTGAGACATGGATAGGTCAAGGAGCAAATTGAAAAAGTACGGAAGGCACAAAAAATGTGGGCAAAGACCAGCTTCAAGCAAAGGCGCCAATTTTTGCGTATACTGTTGAAGTATATAATTAAACATCAAGCACTAATTTGCGAGTAAGAGCACTTCAAATCCATGGTCACAGTTTTTGATGATTTCAGTGTAGTTTATTTTTTTAAAGAGAAAACTTATGCAATGCTGCACTTGTGAGTAGTGACATCCTGTAAAACATGCAATTTTAGCATCGTTTTGTTTCTTAGTCTGAAAAATAGATATGAACTGGGGTTATTGCATAAGAATATCAATATGAAATGTATTCTAAATTGTGTCCTTTTATTAGGATATCGTCACGTGATACTGGAAAAACAATGGTAGATGCCTCTCTAGGAGAAATAATGACAACATGTGAGAAGATCAATTGGCTACTGTCAGAGGGTGAACAATGTCTGAAACCTGAGTACAGGTACATGTTGTTGAGTATTTATTTTTACACAAGTATTTATATTATTGTTTTCCACAGAAATTGGTGTGATATCAATGCCGTTCTATAATTTTAGTGAATTTAAGTGTTAGATTCATAAACAAAGATTTGGTATTGAGTTTTAGTAACAAAAAGATTTGGCTTTATGCAAGATGTTGTGATTTGGATAAAAGAGAGATTTTGTTTGAAAGGTTTGTTTCGATAAAAAGCATGTCAAGATTAGTTTTCATTAACCTATTTCATACATATTCGATTAATCAAACATATGAACTAATTGACGGTCGATATATTCACGTATCCTCTCAATATCACTCATGTCTAAGCAATATTGTGAGTATTATCATGTTAATCCTTAAATGATCTCTCAACCTAACTATTAACATGATAATCTTTAAAGCTTCATACAAGTGAATACTAACTCACAAATCTATGTCTAGAGTTTGCTTATTAGTAGATGAATATCTTAGGTCAAGTTTGAAACTTACTTCTCAATAATGATCTAAGCAATAAAAAGAACAACTAAAGCAAAGATATTCAACATATATTAATCATCAACCAAGTTCATATACAAAATGATCAAAAGAAATACATAATAGTTAGGTTAACTACCTCTAATCTTGACACAAGAGATGTTTAGCTTCCCATAGTCATGATAGCTTGATCAACAAATAAGCAATAAAGCTTTATGAACACATCAACCTTGAAGTATCAAAGATTGAGGTTGTAAAGCTTTGATTTTAGTAAAAATGGAGGAAAAAGAGTTTTTTTACTAAAAAATTATGTTTCTAGGTTACAAAGTACAAAGGATTGAAGAAGATGATCCCCAAAATATCACAAAAGTGGCTTATAAGCATGGGCAGTCCGCCTACCATCGCCGGGCGACCATAAAGCATCGCCGGACGACGCTAACTAAATGGACCACGTGACTGCAATTGACGTACAGAACAAGCAGAAAAATATCAACCATTGTCCGGCGACAAGGATGCTTCGCCGAGTGACTCTTCTTTCGCCGGGCGCTTCAAGGAGCGAGACACTCCGGGAGCTATCCCAAAAACCACCTCTTCTCATCTCTGCTTTCGCCTCTGCGTCGCTGGGCGACGCTTCACTCCATCGCCTCCAGGATCGTCGGGCGATGCATCTTTGAAAAGCCAAATCAACATGCTTGCTTCTTAAACTTTGAGCCGGCTTTAGGCCGCATTGTCTGAACAAAAATTGCTGAAAAACTAACAAACATATGAAGACATTCAAAATTATTTATATTTAAGCAAAATGACTTAAAATAAGTGCTTATCATAATTAAAAATATAATAAAGGGTTTGAAAGTGTCAATAAATGATATGAAAATTACCCAAAAGTTGACACTTAACAACTCTTCCCCAACTAAAGTCTTTGTTTGTCCCCAAATCAAAGGTAAAAAAAAAACCAAGACAACAAGAAGAGTTCATAAGAACAAAATCAACAAAAGAAATTTGGATGGTTCAAACTCAACAAATGCGGCCACAAATACAAATCAACTGCTTTCAAAATCAAAACATGATAATGAAATAAGTTCTAAACACAAACATCAAGCTGTGCATAAATTAGTAACAACATGTTCATATTTGAATCACCTACTCTCGATCAACAAATATGGATTATGTACACATGACAAGGGACAAAACACTCTAATTAGTAATTGTGCTAACATCCAGAACAATTCATGTATTCATCAAATAAGTTAAAAAGAAGATCAAGAAAACATAGATCACAAAAAGACTTTTATTAGTTGTAACTTGGCTTGGGTTAAAAAAAAAACAAAGGACTATATATGTAAGGCCATTGAAGTAAAATGGGTAAAGATCATGAAGAGCATTTCAAATTATTCACAGCATTCATTCTTGCTTCATCTTTATTTTTATCACAACCTTTTATTTCTTTTCCAAAATTCTATACAATCTTTTCTCTTTGAGTTTTTCTTAAAGGATGCATTGTGCCACCAATTCTTTCTTTCTTTTAAACAACCTCCCCAACTTTCAACATTTCTTACCTTTTTATTCAAGAAAATGCTCTTTAAACAAGGCTATTTCAAACAATTGGGTAAAGTGTTTACAAATAAGAAATTTTTTAGAATGAATCATCATTGAATTTCTTTTTGATCATCAACAAAATTACTAAGTGGTATACCTAATAATTTGTTGGTTTTTTGATAGATTTCTTCCAAAAATTCATAATTTAAAGTTCAAAAGGGGTCACAAAGATTCACACACTCACAAGATTAAATGATATCCTTTTGAAAATGGTGGTAATTCTCGTAATACAAAAACAATGTCTTGATCACTTCTAAGTTTCCAAAATTTCTATTCAAAAACAAGATTTAACATGAATCACACGAGCTAAAACAATAATTACTAAAACGTTAACGATTTGGTGAATAATGGAAAGTCACTCACATTTGTGGTTATGTCCTAATGATTCAAACATGCACACTTATTTACACAACAATGCATAACTATCTTTTTGCATAAAGCACTATTTTCATTATTATGCTAACATTCTACAAAACGGTAAAATAGTACCTTATTTGCGCATATCATTGAGACTTTTATCATCACCATCCAAATTACGAGATTGACCATGCCTCAAGAAAATCAATCTTGCTCCTTGAGCACTTAATTCCAACTATTTATAAAGACAAACAAAACCAACTTTCTATGTAGACACCATAATAAAATATAATACTACTAACTTTTGAACTTAAAAACTATAATTGAACATAATTAAAATAAAAAATTAAATTGTCTTTGGTGTAAAATACAACAAAAAGGTGTACCAATACCCACCAAAAGGATTCAATCCCAAAATACAACCACTAACATTTCAAAACAAAAGTAAATTGTTCCAACAATTAAATTCTAAAACCAACATAAAGCTGAAAAATAAATAAAAGCTGAAAAATAAGTAAAGCTCTTCACTTTGACGCACAGATTCTTCACTGCTCCATATTATCACCACCATCATCACCAACATCACCACCAAAAGGTGTTGCCCCCTCCGAAGAGAACGGGCACATGTCCACAGGCCAATTACAATAGGTATCATATTCAGCACGGGAAGGGAAAGAAACGGCCTCCTAAGGATTAGACTGATTAATAAACAGCTTCGCCATGGAATCATGAAGAAAACTTTCAGACCTTTGATGGGCTTCCAACATGTCTCAAGTATAGTTGCAAGTCTCTTTCATCCTAGGATCCCAATTTGCATAATCGAGACCCTCAGATGTCTCTTGAGCACCAGACGATTCACCCCTACCACTTCTCTTTTTCCTTTTCATAGCCAACTTTCCCAAACAGTATCTTCCTAGATAATCATCATGAATCACCCCCTCACTTTCTCATTAATTTCTTTTGGCAATAATATTCCTTTGTCAAGGCACATAGCAGTAATAAAACAAGGAAAAGGTAGAGGGACACGAGAGTTTACCTCTTTGGTCTTAGTGCTTTCAACAAACTGCTTCATCTCCTTAGAAATAATGCCAGCAACATCCACCGACCTGTCTTCCAAGATACATCGCACAAGCACTGCAACGTCAATAGAAACGGCTGATCTATGAAGCTTAGGTTTGATGTTGTTTAAAATCAAAAGAAGCACAACTTATGCTTCAAATGTCATATCCTCCCGGTTGTATCTTAAAAGAAGTCCCGCTGCATTCAATTATGCACTTCTTCCTTCCAACAGAATTGCACTAGCAATTGAATCATGGTTTCTTACTTTGCCAAGCTCCTTGTTGAAGTCATCTATCTCGTGAACACACAAATGAAGTGGGTTACCCAAAAACTTGTTTATGGAGTCCGTATAAAAAATGCAATGATTTTCCTCTCACGGTGGTCTTGTAAAGAAATTGCTCCCCTCAACAGGAAGAGCATTTGCGTAAAACTCTCTGACTAAATCATAGCTTATTCGGTCAACCAGATCAATCAACACATCCCACTTCTTCTTTAGGAAAATCTGCATTGGCTTCCCATAAGGACCGTTGGTGTCAATCACAAATTTTTTCTTTGACACAAACTGTCTTCCCACCAGAAGGTTGAATCTTGCCTCAGCTTCAGCACTAACAAATCGATGTTCATTAAAATTCCGTGGTTGGCTCGAACTGTCCCCACCAGTTTCCCTTACTGACTTCAAACGAAAAGCTTTCTTAGGACCCACTGTAAAATACTAAATCAAAACAGAACAACAAACAAACCCTCTTGTTAGACATAAAAAAATAACAAAATGCAGAACACACAAGAAAAAATCAGAGATGTCGCCCCTGACATGCATCGTCGGGCGATGCAATATTTGTCGTCAGGCGACACCCTGCGAACAGGCCATGTTTTGCAGAATTTTTCTTTCACAAATCCTCATAACTTTCACTTCTAAACTGAATTGCCTTAGTGATTTCAGTCAAATTTTTATGGTGAGTGATGATTGCAAACAATGGACATTGAAAATCCTAACCACATGCATACTAATCAAAACTATAAAAACCTAAATTACAAAACCTAATATACTAACCACATTCGTACTAATCAAAACTATAAAAACCTAAATTACAAAACCTAATTTACTAACCACATTCAAGAAGAAAAGAAAAATTTACCTTTGAAGCTTGAAATTAGGAATGAAGTTGCTAGAATTGGGGGATAATTTGATGAATATGACCCAAAATGGGTCAAAACATACTTATAAAAGATGGATGACTCGTCGGCCCAAAATAATCCACATAATTTAAAACACAAATATGCAACTCTTTATAACACCGTCGCCCGACAACAGAAACGATCGCCCGACGACGCTTGACAGAAACAGAAAAAATTTTCTGCTGCAGAATTTGTTTCACAAATCCTGTTCTGCAGCAAACTAAATAAAAATGACAAAAAAACATAAATACTTATAATATTAGGGTGCCTCTTAACAAGTGCTTTGTTTAACGTCGTTTTGAGCTCGACGGTCCAAGGTGATCA